CTTTTCCCCTTGGATGTACGAACTGGACGTTCATTGAGCGGTTACAGCGGCTACACAGGGAAAGAGGCGTCACGCGTTTCAACGCTGCTTTAGCAGATCAGTTTTCTTGCTTATCACTTGGTCTTCAAATGGAATATAGCTTATTTCAACTAAAAGACAAAAGTTGTCTGGACACAACTTGCCGCAAACATTCTTTGTGTGTTGTTCAAATAATCCCTCATCACCTTTGACTTGTGTTTTCGCACGTCTGTCAGATATACCGGTAATTATCAATCGTCCAAAATAAGTCGGAAATAATTGTACGTTTCCTAGCAAATTTCGCTGTCGGGAAAAATGGAACAAACGGACAATTGACGCTGGCAATCTTTTCTCGAACCTCTACATCTTTTCAATTTTCACTTTGAAACTGGTTTCGATAAAATTTCCCTACTAAGAGTATTAAGGATTTAGGATATTTATCGAGACCAAAATACTTCATTTACAGTTTGATGAACAAATCTGTCGTTGGTTTGATCATCAGTTAATTAATTTAATCTTGTAATCTGCAACTTGACAGTGACGAAACCACCTTCGCGGGGTCAGCATGCTCAGTTTTCATTGGCTTTCAAGCTATACCACAAGAACACGGCCACTCGAGCGTAGGAGACGAAATTCATCAACCACTAGATTGTGGATACAAAGTACTTTTGATTACCCATTACACCGGCACATCTAGGCAACGGACTTCGTGGTTGCAGATGCGGTCAAGACATGACACCAGCGACGGGGGACCTAACTTGGGCCATTCTACATGCACGAATTCGGGTGTGATCACTGCACACTCAGATCATGGAGGTAGAATCACTCAGATAGGCCCAATGTAAACGGGGGACATTGTCTCCACTTCTGTTTGTAAAGATTTTTGTGCATCTTTATACTTTTCTTTCATGTATGAAAACTCTTTGAAATCTTTTTGGGCTTAGGTTCATTAAAAAGTGCACTTTTCAACAAGTATTTTCCCGACGAGAGAGGGCGCTGTTGCTGTGATGTAAATCAGGGAAGACACATTGCAGTTCACGTTTTCAAGATCTAATTCCGAAACCCAAATTTTCTCAATTGAAACGATTCTTCAAAAAACTTGCTGGTTGGCGTATATGCTTACACAACAATAAATTACTTAATAAACGGAAATTTAAGACAACAAAATATAAAAGATCCTCCAGATTTTGGTGCACAAACCAGCGCAACATTCAGGTTCAGTGCCTTGGATGACATAACAACAGTCTTGCTCATGAATATGGAAAGTTTCATTAGCCTTAAAACCAGAAAAGCTCAGAAATAGATTAAAATAGCAAAACCAAAAATCCTTGAAATCCAAATTTGTTGAATCACAAAGGTGCAATTCAAGGGTTGTTGTAAAATGATTGCATTGCATGGTCCCTTTAAAAGCATATCAACTTGAGTGATGCTTCCACTCTTTACGGGGCCTCTGCGGAGTATGCAGTGGCCACATACCTAAATTTGTCTGTTGATACTGCTGGAATTACGCAATCTTGATGCACCTGTCTCAAGTTCCAATATTTAGCGTACTTTAAAACTGTAGGGTCATAATGACAAAAATGGGAATCCGGAATTTTGCTATCAATTTCTTGTACCCGAGCTTTTCAGTATCTATTTTTTTTAGCTGGACAAATGTGTCGGGCCCGGAGAATGACACAGTAAATTTATAGTTTTCAGATATTGGGTCAATGTGACCTTTGCAGTTTTGGGAGCCTGCGTTTGTGTGGATAGCACTGACCCAATCATACAAAATTACGGTACTCTAACAATAACTCACCCACAAAATTTAATGGCCTGACAGAAAGGGGTGAAACAAATAAACAAAAACAATGGGCACTTGAAGTCAACGTGCATTACAGTGAATGGAACATTTCTTGGATCAATTTTTATGCTCTACACCTGTTCATGTTGAGAACGCCAATGTCAAAGTGGCATCAGTTCATAGCCAAAATGCCTCCTCTTGATCTTAAACCACATAAGCTCACGAAATATCAGGAAAATGGGAACTAAGTTCCAGCTCTCGTTGAGGACTGAACCCGACTTTTACGGATCGTTTGTCGAAAATGGTCCATGTTGCACCACCTCGTACTCGTGCACGTACCGGTTGTAGAGGTTAAGGTAAAAAAAAAATGGTTTCTGGTGACGAGCTAGCTCCAAAAATGGTGCGGCGACGCTGCCTTCCCCCCCCCCACTTTTTTTTTCTGGAAAATTTACGATGTACGATAACGCGCGATGTCCATTGCGACTGCATGCGCTCGTAACTCCAGCCGCTACCAACACTAAAAATAGACTGGCCCCCTCATTTTTACTGTTTAAAAGCAGTTTCAGCTAGTACATGTACACAGGGCATCTGGTTCTCAGATGTAAATGTTTAATACAGAAATGACGTCATCTGTAAACGAGTGCCCGACTAATTAATGTACGGGGAACTGCATGGGACTCCTTTATTGTACATATTACTCAACCGTACCCCACCAAAAACACGTTACAATTACACAGTAGCAGGATTTCAGTCGATTAAGCAAGTTTTTAAGATTAGGCCTACATCAAATAAAAAACTTTTCTTGTTTTGCCGACGCGCAGGTCTAGGGCGACGTGCGCGCTGACCAGAAACCTGAGACACTTTTTTTGGGGGGGGGCTAATCACAGTATTTTGGGGAGCCCGTCACAAGCAGTAATCAGCTTCTTACAAGTAATGGTTCAAATTCTTTTGGCGAACACGATAATTCAGTTATTTTAAGAGCCCAACAATTTTTACTCAATCAGCACAGGCAAGGAAAGAAGGACAAGTGGTAGTAACATGCTGGAGGAAAGCATAATTCTGGCTTTTCGGGTTTCTCCTCACTCGCCAGTTACAGGTTAACATTTTGCTCATTATTGGGTAATGTTGAAGTGATTTAGAATTCCTTTCTTACTACATTGGGAAGTGGAAGACATTAAAATGGTGAAGAAAACCCTGGGAGAAAAGGGTAGTTTATATGGCAAACAATAATTCTAATTGTAATCATATGATCCGGAATTGTCTATGACGAGGAAATGTAGCACTCAAGGGAGACATTTTAATGCGTGCATTTGCAGTCTGTCGTTCTTTGGCGAAACAAAACTTCAGTGTATGTATAGCACGACGTATTTTCGGAGCGACCTCCTAGAATATCCATTCCTTACTTTGTTGTTAGATTCTATGGCGGCTCTCCCCCTCTTACAACTGAATTGAAGGGTTTAGCGCTACAAACAGACAGCCAGACAGGCGGAATGACAAACGCTAATTTGAAGTCATTCACTACAATCCGAGGGCCCTGTCAGTTGTGGCATTACTTGCCTGTCGTGTGCCCCCACCCCCATTGTAGTCAATTATTAATATTGACATCTGCTCAAACTGAGCGAATCGGTGAGAAAAATGACACGGCCCCAACCCTGTTCCATAATCACCAGGACGGGAGATATACCAGTCCAAGTAGAACGTACCTGCATCGTATTAACATTTCAGTAAGTGCCTTGCTGCGATGACCGAGCACTCAAAATAATTCCGTATCCGAAACTCGTCAGATCAAATTATAATAATGATAATTGGGAAAATTGAGGTAGCCGGGTATGAATTGGTATTTAAAGTGGACAGGATGTCGTGAAGAAAGGCAAGAGCAGTTAAAGTCAATGATTATGTAACGCTCCAAACGGAGAATACTTGTAGCCGAGTTTTTTTCACATGTTGAAGGGATATTAGACAAGCAATGCTTCAATGCCTTGCCTTGAAATTTGTTAACGAGTCCGTACCATGGGGAAATATTGTGTATAATTCACCATAACGCAGTTGCCATACAAAATTTCACTGAAACACATGCCGCCCCTAACCTGTCAGAATCAAAACAATAGAATCCATAATCATCAACCCAAAGAATTTTCGGCACAAATCTTGGTCATTACCTCAAGCTCGCACCGTCCCTACCTTGGTGTCCAGTTACTCACCTTGCATCAGTTTACCTGGCCTTCGCCCTCTGGGATACCTGTTCTTCTAACTTTCATGAAGATTTCTTTTCCAGTCCTTTTCGGGGCTTCCAAACTGTAGTGCTTTAGGCATTGTTGAAAACCACACATAGCTTCAAAGGAACTAACATTTATAATAAAAACTACAACAACATCAGAGTAACAACTGCCCCTTTGATCTATCCACAAATCAAAAGAATGATTTTGATTTGAATGTCACTTTCTCCAACAAGAAGTAAATGTCCTTTCCCCGGAGGAAACGGGTCAAAGTCTTACCCGACAGCAAGCTCAGCTAATCCCCTGTGGTCTTCCTGCTCTGTTCTGTTCTTCACCCTCATGGACGAAAATCGAGGAATTTTAATTTCCTGTAGTCTGCTCAGACATCCTGCCTCCAGTAAATATTTTCTGATCCGGCAGTCACTGCACATTTGCATGCGTGAGTAAAATGCATGATATTAAACCATTGTTTCTGCCCCAAACCAATTCCCCTGATCTTTTTAATTAACGTCTATAATCCACTTTATGTAACGATGTCCCCATAACCCAATTTCAGATAATTGGTTGTTAAAACTGACAACAGGGACCTAACGATGTGAACCCTAAAGTGATATACCCTATTCCTTATCTGCATAATGGTTTCTATGATGATGGTCATCAAAATTTTTCAGTTATCAAATATTCATTTCAACTCGGCAATCTCAATGGAATTTCTATATAACATACTTTGGGGAAAAATACCACCTTTTGAATAGGGGCTTTATCAGCACGTGACCGTAAAAAATCTACAAACGTCTGCGCCGACAAGTAATCGACGCTGTTCACACACCTCACCAATCACAATTTGGTTCAGATGGCTAAAGCTCCGCCCCCATTGCTCTAACTGGGCAAGAAGCTATTTCGTTAAGCCCGGCTATTGGTCAGAGTTTTCCGTCAGCTGCAGGATGGTGTAAAATAGCGTGGCTATAAAAGGTGAGGGCAAGAAAGCCGGGTAGAGTGTCTCAGACAGTGTCGTGTGACGGCTTTTATTCGATCTCGAATACGAGCTATTGTCCTTTCGTCTGATACTACCTATGTAGATCTCCCCAGACCTACCTGCAAGACACCTGTCTGGCGACGATTCACCGTCCGATTTCATCGTGCCTGGTGAATGTATGACGACTGAAAACTTCAGTTGAACTGTCAGGAGTAGTACGTCTTTGGGCACTTTTCATTCCTGAAGAGAGATAGCTTCTCACTGGATTTCAGCATTCAGGGTAGGTTTCAGTTAGCAGTAAATACAAATTTGGAATGTAGAAAGAACTGCTTCACTTTGGGATTAAAATGAAATACATAACACTTTGCACGTAGCTAGTTACCACTGCAATCCATTTTAGCTGTACCAGGTAAAATAACAATAAATGTAAGCTGTAGCTTTTCTTTGTGAAATTGATCTCTTCATTTCGCTTTTCCCAGACTTAAGTCCAATTGGGGATTTCTCATCCATAATCAAGGCGTTAAGTTGCATGGGTGCGCTTCTCTCTGCAAAGTTTTATTTTCTGAGCCTTGAGCCTCATTGTCGCCATTTTGACGGGGAGTAATGGGAAAGGACCGCCCCAACAGATCAAATTCAGCAGCGACTCTAGGAATGCACTAAAGACGGAAGTGTCATATTCAGGTTAGGGAGGAACGTCGTTTTCATAGTCTTGATCCGAGTGGTTTCAACGCAACGTTTTTTTCTTTCTGTCTGTCTTTCTTTCCACAGAGAGCAATATATCTGGAGTTACAGATATGAAACATTTAGTGACGATTTTTTTCTTATGGAATGTTGCGATGTTATTCTAATTATTAATCCTCGACGACCCATTTTCGAGTATTTGTGTGCTCGAAATGTTGATAATGTGGTTTTTTCATGTAGGCTAGAAAAAGGCTCAAAATTGTGAAGGGAAATTACTTGCTCGTTGAAGAAGGCACATTAGCCTCTCAACAATGCTTACCCGAAATTACTAAAAATACACGCAAAATGCTGAGAGGAACTTAACGGACATATAGGGTCGTGACTGTTAGCAGTAAAGCTCATCTTTCTGGAGGATAAATATTAGTTCAAAATCTTCTCCGAAGCGTCATTTGAGAATAGGAGATTATAAGAATAGGAATCTCATTGCAAATAATTAATAACGTGGTGTTATTACCCATACATTTCAGGTGACAAGTCCGTTCCTCGAATTTATTGCTAAATGCGATTAGATTTATCGCCGATTGCCTCTTTCTGATGTTTAAGAAGATGCACAATATTATGAAAAACTCTCACGGAAGTGATTGCAATTGTAATTTGCAAGCACTCCCTGAATGAATGTTTTTCATCGGGAGAAACATGTTCTTCCGGTGGTAGATGGAATGCTCCATTCCATCCAATCACCCTCATGAATTTACTCTTACCATTTCACTCATGTACTTTTTTTTTTATTTGTACATCACCCTGCTGCATTGAATGTGTTTCAGACACGTGGGGAGACAATACCCTTGAAATATGTCAATTGTGTAAATACCAACCTGCCAGGATTAGCCAATTGACACAAGGTGCAACATCCGGGGATTTAGCTTTGGTCATCAGGTACTGTTTCTAAAATAGATATTGCTCACAGATTATACGATGCATCCAACGTGATTTACTAATCTTTAAGTTGTGATTTATTTGCTTCATCCATTTTTAGTTTGGTTGCGATTATTCTTGTTTCACAGCAGGGTGAGCTGAGAAAATGGCTTCTTCCTACGACGGATAAAATGTCCTTCCCAAAACAGCATTGATAAATTGAGCCAACTGTTGCTTCATAACTTTAAGTTTGAGTTTTTAAACATAAGACGTACGTATTGTCCAAATAATTAAGTGCTGAAGTGTGAGGCTTCACAAAATCGCAGATTGTGGAAACACCTGTTTCGTAATTAGCTCTGACCTTGACGGAGAGAAATCAGACGATACACGTCCTTCTTCCGAGTGCAATCATTTTTCCCCGAGCACCAAATGTTGATTAAGACAGCAAGACTCGCAGCTGAACCCGCCAGCCACATGGTAATATGTTATCCTCCCACTAGATGAAAATCGCAGCCGTCTTGATTATTTCTTCCGGAGGGAGGGGATGGGAATTCGGTCTTGATAGGTAGTCATCGATATTGAGATTGTTGGCCAGTGTAAGGTCGATCAAGGGGCACCCCATCCCGATGATAACATCACAAACGCTGCCACATGTGTAACTACACCCTGCGGTGTTTGCTGTGTAGTTCGCCTCAAACTGTACGGCTTGAGGGAGTGATTGGTTCGCGCAGCGCGCAGTTGGAAGATGCTGAATGTTTTGATGCATAGGCAAGTTCCAAGTAAACTGTGCCGCTCACGGTGAATGCAGAAAATCATTTGTAAGCGTGACAGTGTAAACAAATGGGACTATGGGTTTGTTTTATATTCTATGGTATTTATTTCAATCGGTAGATAAAAAGGTATATTTGGAATTCTCTTTTAAAATACCGATATTTCTAAATGTAGGCCCAAAATTAAAACATGCGTCTAATTTTTGCTGAGGATGTTTAATGTGTTATGCCAATGGTAAAAAAACGCGTTGTATGTGCACTCTTTCTGTTGGGTTCGATCTTGCCGCGCGATGTTGGCTCCAATCATGCCTTGCATGATGTTCCCTTAGGTAGTCTATTTCTTATTTTTATTTCATTTCACACGCGCATGACTTTAAAATGCCTGCTCCCAGGAGGTGGAAAAACTTCTCCGCGTGGGAAATGAAGGGTTAGTACTCTTATAGTAATTTCATATAGCTCTAAGCGCAATTATGGCTCTTTTTAATGATCCAGTTTGATATTCCAGTGGTGCATGCCTAAATGGAGCGGGCCTGAGGAGGTCATTGGGGAACAGCTACACGCGCGTGCCAGGTCCGTCCTATCAGCGCCGCCGCACACCCACTCAAACGCGTGTATTTTTCTCGAGTGACCTTGCTATTAGTAGAGAGTTTGACATCTTAGATTTAAGGAAACTAAACTCGTCTTGGTGCGTATGTTGATCATTTTAGATCTTTAGACACATGTCGACACGTTTAATTCAGTGGACTGTGTATTAAAGTATTACAGACGAGGCAAGCCCAGTGTTTGCTTGTGAATTTTAGGCAAAATGCATTAGTAGACTCACAGTCTTAGCAATGAAAACAGACGCCGTGATTTTTGCATTCTGAACATAAACACTGTATCTACAAAAGTAGCTAGAATACACGTTTTTAAAAAGTAAACTCTTTTGTATTAACGTTTTTCATAATAACAAGTCTGGTGTAGTGTTTGTTTGTGAGGGAAGAAGCGTCTGTTTATATTGAAATGCCGCCAGTCTGACTGCGGTACTAAATGGAAATAAAATCACCCGTCAACATCTTGCATCGCATTAGCCTGCAGGTAGAACACTACACCCAGGAACACATTTGTGCACATGCATTAATTCACTCAGATTTTTTTTTCATAAATATTGATCGCGCAACCGCGTCGCGCGGTTACACACAGAGCTCTGGGAGAAAAATACCAGCAAAAGTTCAAGCTGAATAAGTGGTACTCAGGTTTGTCTCGAGGACTGCTCTATACTAATCAGATTTCAAGGCATGATAGTATATACACCATTATGGTTATGGACAAATGTTTGTATGTGATGCATTTTAGAGTAATATGAGAATGGCGATTTCTGTTGAACAATTTGTCTTCTTGATGTTTGCAGTTAAATATACTTACAAAAAAAGTTCCAAAAAGGGATTTCATTCATCCAAGCTGTTCAGTTGGTTTGTCTAAATTAGGGGATTATGTTCTTTTTGGTAGCGTGAGACTAACCCCCCAAATCACACTTTCTTCCGTTTAGAAAAAGTGCAGAAATACCTCCTTATTTCCCAAAGATCCTCAAAGCAACTTACTCCAATTCTAATTTAACGAGGGCAGTTTCATCTCCGTTAACTTTAACAGTTTCTATTGTTATTTGACACAAATCTGGAAGACATTTTCTCGAGTTGGGTGTCAACTGTAGATAACTTTACAGATAGATTGGTTTTGCACTCCTTTTTGTAATTATTCGTTTGACAGCTTAAAGAAAAATACGGTATGGGGCCTCTCTGAAATTGCGACATAAAATAGCAAGGAGACAAGAAAATGTGTTCGCGTTACGTAATAACATTCCATAGCACTCTATGTTTGGGGATGAAACAATGCTGTTTTCTTGTTTTCTAAGAGATGGTTAGTTCTTCTGTTTTCTAATGAGTCAGTGTTTCAGACCACGAGTGCGTTACTGTACAAGGTGTAGGCCTATTCATTACCAACATTACCACACACGTCCCTTTTATATCATTTCGAAGTCAATGACGTGTTCACGTGTGGCCCTTGAATGGCAGAGAACTTTACAGTACATTGTGAAAAAAGGCGCTTAGAGTTCAACAACATTTCCAAACACTTTCTTGAGCCCACATTTTCAACATGTTTCACCCACAACACGATTTAGAGATTTACACCGAAATGTGTTTAGGAATATGCACGGTAAGCGGATTTCCCAAAGCTAAATGTCTACCATGGAAAAGCGTTTAGCTTTTATATACGATCTTGAACGCATGTCAGCGTTAAATAGCTGAACGTGTCGTTTGCTAAGCGTGTTTACCGTGTAATCCGAAACTGGCAGAACGGAACCCATTTAAACTGCTTTCAGTGTATCCACATTAAATCGAATCTTTTCAAAGTTCTCAACATACACAGTTTCCTATTTGCTTTAACAAGGATGTCGTTTGCATGGTTATTCCCTTTTATCTCATTTTTGAAACCAGACACCCAGAAATTTAGCAGTATTCGCACTGAAGTCAGCAGCGTATCCATTTGGGTGTGTGACGAGGGGGGGTCAAAAGTGTGTGAAGCTTTTTGCTCATTCAACATGATGTTGGGGACAAACAAAAAATCAAATGGTATTGTTTTCTTAGGGTTTGGTGCTAATATTTGATAAATAAATTTACCTTTTACTTTCTTTCCTACTCACCTATGAAGTACTATATGTAAAAAAAAAATCCGTTGGGGGAGAGGGAGGTTTTCCCCCCTGCCCCCATTCCTGATAAATGCCGATAAATTTTTTCAGAACATTTTATCAGCGATGGCGTTTTCTTAAAACACTCCTTCAGGGCTTAGCACTTGGAAGTATTGAGTGTTATCAGCCCGCGCTATACCTAAGTCACCCTGGATGACTATCACACAAAATGATGTGCCGATTTTCAAC